TCTGTCGTTGTGATTTCTGGTACTCCAATGGATAGTAGCCTTGTCATTATGGAAGGTAGTATGCTGTCAAGATTTTTGTTACTCCAATGGATGTTAGCCTTGTCATTATGGAAGGTAGTTTGTTGTCGAAATTTTTCTTACTACAATGGATGGTAGCCTTGTCATTTTTGAAGGTAGTCTGTTGTCGAGATTTTTGTTACTCTAACGGATGGTAGCCTTGTCATTATGGAAGGTTGTCTGCTATCTAGATTTTTGTTACTCCAATGGATGGTAGCCTTGTAATTATGGAAGGTAGTTTGGTGTCGAAATTTTTATTACTACAATGGATGGTAGCCTTGTCATTATGGAAGGTAGTCTGTTGTCGAGAATTTTATTACTCCAATAGATGGTAGCCATTTCATTGTTGAAGGTAGTCTGTCATTGTGATTTTTGTTACACCAATTGATGGTAGCCTTGTCATTATGGAAGGTAATCTGTTGTAAAGATTTTTTTTACTCCAATGGATTGTAGCCTTGTCATTGTGGAAGGAAGTCTGTTGTCGATATTTTTGTTACTCCAATGGATGGTAGCCTTTTCATTATGTAAGGTAGTTTGTTGTCGAGATTTTTGTTACTGCAATGGATAGTATACTTGTCATTATGGAAGGTTGTCTGTCGTTGTGATTTCTGGTACTCCAATGGATAGTAGCCTTGTCATTATGGAAGATAGTATGTTTTCGATATCTTTGTTACTCCAATGGATGGTAGCCTTGTCATTATGGAAGATAGTCTATTGTCGAGATTTTTGTTACTCTAATGGATTGAAGCCTTATCATTATGGAAGGTAGTCTGTTGTCGAGATTTTTGTTACTCCAATGGATGGTAGCCTTATCATTTATGGAAGGTAGTATGTTTTCGAGATTTTTGTTACTACAATGGATGGTATCCTTGTCATTATGGAAGGTAGTCTGTTGTCGAGATTTTTGTTACTCTAATGGATGGTATCCATGTTATTATGGAAGGTAGTCTGTTGTCGAGAATTTTATTACTCCAATGGATGGTATCCTTTTCATTATGTAAGGTAGTTTGTTGTCGAGATTTTTGTTACTGCAATGGATAGTATACTTGTCATTATGGAAGGTTGTCTGTCGTTGTGATTTCTGGTACTCCAATGGATAGTAGCCTTGTCATTATGGAAGATAGTATGTTTTCGATATCTTTGTTACTCCAATGGATGGTAGCCTTGTCATTATGGAAGATAGTCTATTGTCGAGATTTTTGTTACTCTAATGGATTGAAGCCTTATCATTATGGAAGGTAGTCTGTTGTCGAGATTTTTGTTACTCCAATCGATGGTAGCCTTGTCATTTATGGAAGGTAGTATGTTGTCGAGATTTTTGTTACTACAATGGATGGTATCCTTGTCATTATGGAAGGTAGTCTGTTGTCGAGATTTTTGTTACTCTAATGGATGGTATCCATGTTATTATGGAAGGTAGTCTGTTGTCGAGAATTTTATTACTCCAATTGATGGTAGCCATTTCATTGTTGAAGGTAGTCTGTCATTGTGATGTTTGTTACACCAATTGATGGTAGCCTTATCATTATGGAAGGTAATCTGTTGTCAAGATTTTTTTTACTCCAATGGATTGTAGCCTTGTCATTATGGAAGGTAGTCTGTTGTCGAGATTTTTGTTACTCCAATGGATGGTAGCCTTGTCATTATGGAAGGTAGTCTCTTGTTGACATTTTTGTTACTCCAATGGAAGGTAGCCTTGTCATTATGGAAGGTAGTCTGTTGTCGACATTTTTGTTACTCCAATGGATGGTAGCTTTGACATTATGGAAGGTAGTCTGCTGTCGAGATTTTTGATACTCTAATGGATGGTAGCCTTGTCATTATGGAAGGTAGTCTGTTGTTGATATTTTTGTTACTACAATGCATGGTAGGCTTGTCATTTTGGAAGGTAGTCTGTTATCGAGATTTTTGTTACTCTAATGGATGGTAGCCTTGTCATTATGGAAGGTAGTCTGCTGTCGAGATTTTTGATACTCCAATGGATGGTAGCCTTGTCATTATGGAAGGTAGTCTGTTTTCAAGTTTTTTGTTACTCCAATGGATGGGAGCGTTGTCATTATTGAAGGTAGTCTGTCATTGTGATTTCTGTTACTCCAATTGACAGTAGCCTTTTCATTATGGAAGATAGTATGTTGTCGATATCTTTGTTACTCCAATGGATGGTAGCCTTGTCATTACGAAAGGTAGTCTGTTGTCGAGATTTTTTTTACTCCAATGGATTGTAGCCTTGTCATTATGGAAGGTAGTCTCTTGTTGATGTTTTTGTTACTAGAATGGATGGTAGCCTTGTCATTTTGGAAGGTAGTTTATTGTCGAGGTTTTTGTTACTCTAATGGATGGTAGCCTTGTCATTATCGAAGGTAGTCTGTTGTCGACATTTTGGTTACTCCAATGGATGGTAGCCTTGTCAATATGGAATGTACTCTGTTGTCGAGATTTTTATTACTACAATGGATGGTAGCCTTGTCATTATGGAAGGTAGTATGTTGTCGAGATTTTTGTTACTACAATGGATGATATCCTTGTCATTATGGAAGGTAGTCTGTTGTCGAGATTTTTGTTACTCTAATGGATGGTATCCTTGTTATTATGGAAGGTAGTCCGTTGTCAAGAATTTTATTACTCCAATTGATGGTAGCCATTTCATTGTTGAAGGTAGTTTGTCATTGTGATTTTTGTTACACCAATTGATGGTAGCCTTGTCATTATGGAAGGTAATCTGTTGTCAAGATTTTTTTTACTCCAATGGATTGTAGCCTTGTCATTATGGAAGGTAGTCTGTTGTCGAGATTTTTGTTACTCTAATGGAAGGTATCCTTGTTATAATGGAATGTAGTCTGTTGTCGAGATTTTTGATACTCCAATGGATGGTAGCCTTTTTGTTATGTAAGGTAGTCTATTGTCGAGATTTTTTTACTCCAATGGATGGGAGCCTTGTCATTATGGAATGTAGTCTATTGTCAAGATTTTTACTCAAATGGATGGTAGCCTTGTCATTATGGAAGGTAGTCTGTTGTTCAGATTTTTGTTACTCCAATGGATGGTAGCCTAGTCATTATGAAAGGTAGTCTGTTGTCGAGATTTTTTTTATTCCAATGGATGGAAGCCTTGTCATTATGAAAGGTATACTATTGTCGAGATTTTTGTTACTCCAATCGACGGTAGCCTTGTCATTATGTAAGGTAGTTTGTTGTCGAGATTTTTGTTACTGCAATCGATGGTATACTTGTGATTATGGAAGGTTGTCTGTCGTTGTGATTTCTGGTACTCCAATGGATGGTAGCCTTGTCATTATGGAAGGTAGTATGTTTTCGATATCTTTGTTACTCCAATGGATGGTAGCCTTGTCATTATGGAAGGTAGTCTGTTGTCGAGATTTTTGTTACTCCAATGGATTGCAGCCTTGTCATTATGGAAGGTAGTCTGCTGTCGAGATTTTTGTTACTCCAATGGATGGTATCCTTCTCATTATGGAAGGTAGTCTCTTGTTGACATTTTTGTTACTCCAATGCATGGTAGCCTTGTCATTTTGGAAGGTAGTCTGTTATCGAGATTTTTTTTACTCTAATGGATGGTAGCCTTGTCATTATGGAAGGTAGTCTGCTGTCGAGATTTTTGATACTCCAATGGATGGTAGCCTTGCCATTATGGAAGGTAGTCTGTTTTCAAGATTTTTGTTAGTCCAATGGATGGTAGCGTTGTCATTATTGAAGGTAGTCTGTCATTGTGATTTCTGTTACTCCAATTCACGGTAGCCTTGTCATTATGGAAGATAGTATGTTGTTGATATCTTTGTTACTCCAATGAATGGTAGCCTTGTCATTACGGAAGGTAGTCTGTTGTCGAGATTTTTTTTACTCCAATGGATTGTAGCCTTGTCATTATGGAAGGTAGTCTCTTGTTGATGTTTTTGTTACTAGAATGGATGGTAGACTTGTCATTTTGGAAGGTACTTTATTGTCGAGGTTTTTGTTACTCTAATGGATGGTAGCCTTGTCATTATGGAAGGTAGTCTCTTGTCGAGATTTTGGTTACTCCAATGGATGGTAGCCTTGTCATTATGGAAGGTAGTCTGTTGTCGAGATTTTTATTACTACAATGGATGGTAGCCTTGTCATTATGGAAAGTAGTATGTTGTCGAGATTTTTGTTACTACAATGGATGGTATCCTTGTCATTATGGAAGGTAGTCTGTTCCCGAGATTTTTGTTATTCTAATGAATGGTATCCTTGTTATTATGGAAGGTAATCTGTTGTCGAGAATTTTATTACTCCAATTGATGGTAGCCCTTTCATTGTTGAAGGTAGTCTGTCATTGTGATTTTTGTTACACCAATTGATGGTAGCCTTGTCATTATGGAAGGTAATCTGTTGTCAAGATTTTTTTTACTCCAATGGATTGTAGCCTTGTCATTATGGAAGGAAGTCTGTTGTCGATATTTTTGTTACTCCAATGGATGGTAGCCTTTTCATTATGTAAGGTAGTTTGTTGTCGAGATTTTTGTTACTGCAATGGATGGTATACTTGTCATTATGGAAGGTTGTTTGTCGTTGTGGAAGATAGTATGTTTTCGATATCTTTGTTACTCCAATGGATGGTAGCCTTGTCATTATGGAAGGTAGTCTGTAGTAGAGATTTTTGTTACTCCAATGGATTGCAGCCTTGTCATTATGGAAGGTAGTCTGTTGTCGAGATTTTTGTTACTCTAATGGAAGGTATCCTTGTTATAATGGAATGTAGTCTGTTGTCGAGATTTTTGATACTCCAATGGATGGTAGCCTTTTTGTTATGTAAGGTAGTCTATTGTCGAGATTTTTTTACTCCAATGGATGGGAGCCTTGTCATTATGGAATGTAGTCTATTGTCAAGATTTTTGTTACTCAAATGGATGGTAGCCTTGTCATTATGGAAGGTAGTCTGTTGTTCAGATTTTTGTTACTCCAATGGATGGTAGCCTAGTCATTATGAAAGGTAGTCTGTTGTCGAGATTTTTTTATTCCAATGGATGGAAGCCTTGTCATTATGAAAGGTATACTATTGTCGAGATTTTTGTTACTCCAATGGACGGTAGCCTTGTCATTATGTAAGGTAGTTTGTTGTCGAGATTTTTGTTACTGTAATGGATGGTATACTTGTGATTATGGAAGGTTGTCTGTCGTTGTGATTTCTGGTACTCCAATGGATGGTAGCCTTGTCATTATGGAAGGTAGTATGTTTTCGATATCTTTGTTACTCCAATGGATGGTAGCCTTGTCATTATGGAAGGTAGTCTGTTGTCGAGATTTTTGTTACTCCAATGGATTGCAGCCTTGTCATTATGGAAGGTAGTCTGCTGTCGAGATTTTTGTTACTCCAATGGATGGTATCCTTGTCATTATGGAAGGTAGTCTCTTGTTGACATTTTTGTTACTCCAATGCATGGTAGCCTTGTCATTTTGGAAGGTAGTCTGTTATCGAGATTTTTGTTACTCTAATGGATGGTAGCCTTGTCATTATGGAAGGTAGTCTGTTGTCGAGATTTTTGATACTCCAATGGATGGTAGCCTTGCCATTATGGAAGGTAGTCTGTTTTCAAGATATTTGTTAGTCCAATGGATGGTAGCGTTGTCATTATTGAAGGTAGTCTGTCATTGTGATTTCTGTTACTCCAATTCACGGTAGCCTTGTCATTATGGAAGATAGTATGTTGTCGATATCTTTGTTACTCCAATGAATGGTAGCGTTGTCATTACAGAAGGTAGTCTGTTGTCGAGATTTTTTTTACTCCAATGGATTGTAGCCTTGTCATTATGGAAGGTAGTCTCTTGTTGATGTTTTTGTTACTAGAATGGATGGTAGCCTTGTCATTTTGGAAGGTACTTTATTGTCGAGGTTTTTGTTACTCTAATGGATGGTAGCCTTGTCATTATGGAAGGTAGTCTCTTGTCGAGATTTGGGTTACTCCAATGGATGGTAGCCTTGTCATTATGGAAGGTAGTCTGTTGTCGAGATTTTTATTACTACAATGGATGGTAGCCTTGTCATTATGGAAAGTAGTATGTTGTCGAGATTTTTGTTACTACAATGGATGGTATCCTTGTCATTATGGAAGGTAGTCTGTTCCCGAGATTTTTGTTACTCTAATGAATGGTATCCTTGTTATTATGGAAGGTAATCTGTTGTCGAGAATTTTATTACTCCAATTGATGGTAGCCATTTTATTGTTGAAGGTAGTCTGTCATTGTGATTTTTGTTACACCAATTGATGGTAGCCTTGTCATTATGGAAGGTAGTCTGTAGTAGAGATTTTTGTTACTCCAATGGATTGCAGCCTTGTCATTATGGAAGGTAGTCTGTTGTCGAGATTTTTGTTACTCCAATGGATGGTAGCCTTGTCATTATGGAAGGTTGTCTCTTGTTGACATTTTTGTTACTCCAATGGATGGTAGCCTTGTCATTATGGAAGGTAGTCTGTTGTCGAGCTTTTTGTTACTCTAATGGAAGGTATCTTTGTTATAATGGAATGTAGTCTGTTGTCGAGATTTTTGATACTCCAATGGATGGTAGCCTTTTTGTTATGTAAGGTAGTCTATTGTCGATATTTTTTTACTCCAATGGATGGTAGCCTTGTCATTATGGAATGTAGTCTATTGTCAAGATTTTTGTTACTCAAATGGATGGTAGCCTTGTCATTATGGAAGGTAGTCTGTTGTTCAGATTTTTGTTACTCCAATGGATGGTAGCCTAGTCATTATGAAAGGTAGTCTGTTGTCGAGATTTTTGTTATTCCAATGGATGGTAGCCTTGTCATTTTGGAAAGTAGTCTTTTGTCGAGATTTTTGTTACTCTAATGGATGGTAGCCTTGTCATTATGGAAGGTAGTTTGTTGTCGAGATTTTTGTTACTGCAATGGATGGTATACTTGTCATTATGGAAGGTTGTCTGTCGTTGTGATTTCTGGTACTCCAATGGATAGTAGCCTTGTTATTATGGAAGATCGTATGTTTTCGATATCTTTGTTACTCCAATGGATGGTAGCCTTGTCATTATGTAAGGTAGTCTGTTGTCGAGATTTTTGTTACTCCAATGGATTGCAGCCTTGTCATTATGGAAGGTAGTCTGTTGTCGAGATTTTTGTTACTCCAATGGATGGTAGCCTTGTCTTTATGGAAGGTAGTCTCTTGTTGACATTTTTGTTACTCCAATGGATGGTAGCCTTGTCATTATGGAAGGTAGTCTGTTGTTGAGATTTTTGTTACTCTAATGGAAGGAATTCTTGTTATAATGGAATGTATTCTGTTGTCGAGATTTTTGATACTCCAATGGATGGTAGCCTTTTTGTTATGTAAGGTAGTCTATTGTCGAGATTTTTTTACTCTAATGGATGGTAGCCTTGTCATTATGGAATGTAGTCTATTGTCAAGATTTTTGTTACTCGAATGGATTGTAGCCTTGTCATTATGGAAGGTAGTCTGTTGTTCAGATTTTTGTTACTCCAATGGATGGTAGCCTAGTCATTATGAAAGGTAATCTGTTGTCGAGATTTTTGTTATTCCAATGGATGGTAGCCTTGTCATTATGAAAGGTATACTATTGTCGAGATTTTTGTTACTCCAATGGACGGTAGCCTTGTCATTATGTAAGGTAGTCTGTTGTCGAAATTTTTGTTACTCTAATGGATGTTATCCTTGTCATTATGGAAGGTAGTCTGTTGTCGAGAATTTTATTACTCCAATAGATGGTAGCCATGTCATTATTGAAGATAGTTTGTCATTGTGATTTCTTTTACTCCAAGTGATGGTAGCCTTGTCATTATGGAAGGTAATCTGTTGTCCCGATTTTTGTTACTCCAATGGATTGTAGCCTTGTAATTATGGAAGTTAGTCTATTGTCGAAATTTTTGTTACTCCAATGGATGGTAGCCTTTTCATTTTGCAATGTAGTTTGTTGTCGAGATTTTTGTTACTCCAATGGATGGTAGACTTGTCATTATGGAAGGTTGTCTGTCATTGTGATTTCTGGTACTCAATTGGATGGTAGCCTTGTCATTATGAAAGATAGTATGTTGTCGGTATCTTTGTTACTCCAATGGGTGGTAGCCTTTTCATTATGGAAAGTAGTATGTTGTCGAGATTTTTGTTACTACAATGGATTGTAGCCTTGTCATTATGGAAGGTACTCTATTTTCGAGATTTTTGATACTCTAATGGATGGTATCCTTGTCATTATGGAAGGTTGTTTGTTGTCGATATCTTTGTTACTGCAATGTATTGTAGCCTTGTCATTATGGTAGGTAGTCTATTGTCGAGATTTATGTTACTCCAATGGATGGGAGCCTTTTTGTTATGTAAGGTAGTCTGTTGTCGAGATTTTTTTACTCCAATGGAAGGTAGCCTTGTCATTATGGAAGGTTGTCTGTCCTTGTGATTTCTGGTACTCCAATGGATAGTAGCCTTGTCATTATGGAAGATAGTATGTTGTCGATATCTTTGTTACTCCAATGGATGGTAGCCTTGTCATTATGGATTGTAGATGTTTTCGAGATTTTTGTTACTCCAATGGAATGTAGCCTTGTCATTATGGAAGGTAGTCTCTTGTTGACAGTATTGTTACTGCAATGGATGGTAACCTTGTCATTATGGAAGGTAGTCTGTTGTCGACATTTTTGTTACTCTAATGGAAGATAGCCTTTTCATTATGGAATGTTGTCTGTTGTCGAGATTTTTGTTACTCAAATGGATGGTAGCCTTGTCATTTTGGAAGGTAGTCTGTTGTCAAGATTTTGGTTACTACAATGGATGGTAGCCTTGTCATTAGGGAAGGTAGTCTGTTGTCGGTATTTTTGTTACTCCAATGGATGGTAGCCTTGTCATTATGTAAGGTAGTCTGTTGTCAAGATTTTTGTTACTCCAATGGATGGTAGACTTGACATTATGGAAGGTAGTCTCTTGTTGATATTTTTGTTACTCTAATGGATGGTATCCTTGTTATTATGGAAGGTAGCCATGTCATTATTCAAGGTAGTCTGTCATTGTGATTTCTGTTACTCCAATTGATGATAGCCTTGTCATTATGGAAGGTAATTTGTTGTCAAGAATTTTGTTACTCCAATGGATTGTAGCCTTGTCATTATGGAAGTTAGTCTATTGCGAGATTTTTGTTACTCCAATGGATGATAGCCTTGTCATTACGGAAGGTAGTCTGTTGTCGAGATTTTTGTTACTCCAATGGATTATAGCCTTGTCATTATGGAAGGTAGTCTTTTGTCGACATTTTTGTTACTCCAATTGATGGTAGCCTTGTCATTAAGGAAGGTAGTCTCTTGTTGATATTTTTGTTACTATTATGGATGGTAGCCTTGTCATTTTGGAAAGTAGTCTGTTGTCGAGATTTTTGTTACACTAGTGGATGGTAGACTTGTCATTATGGAAGGTAGTCTTCTGTCGAGATTATTGTTAATCTAATGGATGGTATCCTTGTCATTATGGAAGGTAGTCTGTTGTCGAGAATTTTATTACTCCAATGGATGGTAGCCATGTCATTATTGAAGGTAGTCTGTCATTGTGATTTCTGTTACTCTAATTGACGGTAGCCTTGTCATTATGGAAGGTAATCTGTTATCCAGATTTTTGTTACTCAAATGGATTGTAGCCTTGTCATTATGGAAGGTAGTCTGTTGTCGAGATTTTTGTTACTCCAATGGATGGTAGCCTTGTCATTATGGAAGGTAGTCTCTCATTGATATTTTTGTTACTACAATGGAAGGTAGCCTTATCATTTTTGAAAGTAGTTTGTTGTCGAGATTTTTGTTTCTCTAATGGGTGGTAGCCTTGTCATTATGGAAGGTAGTCTATTGTCGAGATTTTTGTTACTCCAATGGATGGTAGCCTTGTCATTATGGAAGGTAGTTTATTGTCGATAATTTTGTTACTCCAATGGATGGTTGCCTTGTCATTATTGAAGGTAGTCTGTTGTCGAGATATTTTTTACTCTAATGGATGGTAGCCTTGCCATTAATAAAGGTAGTTTGTCGTGTGATTTCTGTTACTCCAATGGATGGTAGCCTTGTCATTATGGAAGATAGTATGTTTTCGATATCATTGTTACTCCAATGGATGGTAGCCTTGTCATTATGGAACTTAGTTTGTTGTCGAGATTTTTGTTACTCCAATGTATTGTAGCCTTGTCATTATGAAAGGTAGTCTGTTGTCGAGATTTTTGTTACTCCAATGGATGGTAGCCTTGTCATTACGGAAGGTAGTCTCTTGTTGAGATTTTTGTTACTCCAATGGATTGTAGCCTTGTCATTATGGAAGGTAGTCTTTTGTCGACATTTTTGTTGCTCCAATGGATGGTAGCCTTGTCATTTTGGAAGGTATCACTTGTTGATATTTTTGTTACTACAATG